AAATGAAATATTATTTTGCCAAATAACCTAGTTTAACTCTTGTAATGATTTTAATATATTTAGTATTAGAAAATCTTATTGATTTTGAGCTTGTATTGGGAATAATTATTTATATTTATATTTATTTTAAAATCATTGATGAATTTACTAATTATTTTAGTAAATAATTTTCTTCCCAAATTCTCTGTCATGAACAGTTAGTATAATATATGGCATTGAATATAATGCTCATTCTTAAATTTGAACTTCAATTTAAAGCATAAGAATAGATAATTATGTCCCATTTTTCAACTCTTATTTTGAATGATTTGTTTTGTTAAATTAATAATTTTTCAAATTAATTTGACTTTTGAGGAGCCAGTATTTTGCATTGCTCACTGATTTTATATACTTGTGATTAAAATTTTTTCTTTTTTTGTGTTTTGAGACAAGGTCTTGGCCTCTAGTTCAGGCTGGCATTGAACTACTTACCTAGCACAGGGTGGTCTCCAGTTCCCAGCCCCTCAGCCCTCCTGCCTCAGCCTGGCAGAATGCTGGGATTACAGGTGTGCACAGCCGCACCCAGCAGTTATTGCCTTTGTATGAAGTTTTTAAAAATTATATTTCCTTTTCTCTTCTTAACTTTTTTTGATCAGTTTTGTTTTTCTAACAACCTAAGATAATAATTTAGCAATATGTTTCCTTCTTTTTCGGTTTTAAAAGCATGACTACATTAGTTCTCCACTAACGGGAGAGTTTTGCATATTTAATCCAAAGTTAAATATTGGAATTTGCTGAATTTTTTGTTGTTTGTTTATTTGTTTTGTTGGTATTTTATGATGTTTTGTATGATAACTGTTGCTTAATGTTGAGAAAAATTTTCATTCCTTTTTTCTAAAGATCAAAATATTTATCAAACCATATTAAATTACCTTACTCTATTTTTTAAACTTTGCCTAATTTAACACTATAAATGCAAAAAATATGGACTTTATCATTCTACTCAATTGTCGAACATATTTAAAGATACATTACTTGATTTACTAATGGGCTAGTAAGATATTTTTATTGGCTAAAAGTTATGAGTCTCATTTTATCTCCATTGATTTAATTTTTGTGTGTGTGTGTGCGCCTGGAATTGAACTCAGGACCTTGTGCTTGCCAGGAGGGCACAGCTCCACTGAGCTAAATCCCCAGCCCTCTCCATTGATTTTAAAGGATAATTTCCCCTCAGAGTATAGCAATGATTTAGCTATTTGTGTCAGCAACATTTGACTTTTCTTTATCTTACATTTATCAGGAAAATTAAATATTATTTTTAAATATAGGTTTCTTTGGTTCCACCAACATCCATATTCTTTTGTAAAAATGTTAGAGCAACAAAACTAGTTTTTCCTTTGAAAGCATATATGTACACTTTACTAATTTAAAGGCTTTTTTTACAGTGAACTTTCCATTTAACCTATATTATCAATATTTATTTTAATGAAATAAATGTTTTCTCTTTTAGTTAGTAATATGTGTCATTCTTCATAAATAATTTATACATTTATCGGATGATAAAATATAAAAATAAAATCCAACATATACAGAGTAGTTACATCATTGCCCTTATTGTATAAGTTTCTGATTACTTCTTAGGGGAAAATGTGGGTTCTAAAAAGTATTATTTGGCAGAATATGGTTATTATAAATAATCATTGCTCTGTTGATCCTCAGGAATGCTGTCTCCCCTTGGTGAGATACTGCTAAGATTTTTAAAATTTCTTTTCTTCTTTTTGTTTTAGTGTGAAGGACAGCCTAGTTATAGCCTCTATATTGAAAACTGTGGACTCCCCTTTTACATACCATTCCTTCTTTTTTGAAGTTATGGCTTTTCTATTACTTATTTTTCTAACTTTCATTTAGAACGTTAATTCTTATGTCTTATGTTTCTTGAAATTTAAATATATTAAATTCTGCTAAATATAAACATGGCACCTTTGGATAGACCCATTATCACTTTTATCATGTAATAAATAAAGGGCCTTATTTTTTCATCCACTTAGTTATAAATTTTTTATTAGCTTTAGTACTTTTAAGGGCATCTTTAATTTTTCTGGTATTGAAATCATAAAAGTTAAGTAGTGATACTCAAAGTAAATTGTGTAAGCAAATGTTCTTTTTAAAATTTCTCCTTATTTTCTTTATGGTATTTTTCCTGCTCAAGTCTCCTCTTTTTTTCAAATATGTTAGCCCCATTTTCCCTTGTAGAGGGCTATATAAATGCTTTCACCTAATCCAGTCACTTACTTATTGCCCTAATATTTGAGAAATATCCTTCACAGATAAAGTTGGTACTTCATTAGAAACTTAGTGCAGTCCTACTATAAGTCATATTTCTTGGAATATACCAGAATTCATTAAATATTTAGTGAATAATTGTTATCCCAGTGTAACAAATCAATAATGTTCTTCTGAGCCTATTTCTTCACTCGTTCAGATTGAAAAAAATATTGGGAATTTAAAATATAATTTTTTCTGTTCCTAACTTTGGTGGAATTGTTTACTCCAGTGGTAATATGAAGAATAAGTAGAGAACATGGAAATAAGCAAAACGAATTTGATAGTGTTAGAGAGACAATGAGGCAACTGTTTCTCCTCCTCTGGCACATACTGGACACTAATTTGTGTCTCCTGAGTACCAGAGGATTGCTTTAAATTCAGCTTTGCTTTCAGAGAACATATATTTTATATCCTAGACCCTAGATCTGAGCAAATTAATAATTTAGCCAGTATTGTAAGGGAGAAACTAAAGCACTGGGTTCATTTCTTGTGATTTTTTTTCTCTTTGAGGTCATGCCCCAACACTTTTGGGCTGACTTGCATTCTCCCATTGTATCCTGTCTTCTTTCAGAATCATATGCTCACTTCTTTACTGATGGCCTATTTCTGCAATGTTTAGAGGAACTAATTTGTGTTCTTCTCATTCAATTCAACTGTAACTTCCTGCTTTATCAATTTTAATTTCTTTGCTGTACTTGTATTTTCACTGGAAAATTATTTCCTTAGATTACCAGTTTTTAAAAAATACCATGTGGAATTATCCTTGGGAGGCAAGCAAACAATGTATCTATACACTTTGATGTCTCTAACTGAGCTAAATACCATATACTTAGTAATAAAGAATTGACAAGCTTTGTAAAACATACCGTATGGGGCCAGGGATTTAGCTCAGTTGCATCGCGACTGCCTGGCAAGCGAGCGCAAGGTCCTGAATTCAATCCCTGGTACCAAAACAAAAACACTGTATGAGTCACTGAGTATGATGTACATCTCCTACTCACCTAGTGATTTGTGGATTTATAAGCTAGTATAGGACTTCATAATTACACAATTACAGTTGGCATAGCATACTGAAATTTAACTACTTTTTAAAAAAAAATTAACTACTTTTATAAGGTGATTGGTGTTATTTAAATCACTTAATTGAATTTTGAGTATATTACCACCATCTAAAATGAAGTGTAAATATCTGCAGTCAATTCCATTAGTTATTAAGAATATATAAACTAAAGCCACAATATGATACCATTGTATACATAAGGGAATATCTGTGGTAGGCTGAATTCTAGATGATACTTGACTCTAGCCCTTGTTTAATTCCTTCATTGGGAAGATGATAGGATAGCACTACTATCATTATATTATATTAGAGGCAGAGGAAGTTTTAGTACCTCAAAGTAACTAATCAGTTGATTTTGAATTAATCAGAAGAAGATACTCTGAGTGAGCCTAAAACATAAGCAGAGATATTTGAGACACAAGAACGTCAATGTGAGGGATGTTTTCCATTGCTGAGATGGTTGGACCATGGACCACTCATGTGTGAGCAGTCTCTAGGAGATCAGAATGGTCCCTGGCATCAGCCAGTGCGACTTTAGTTCTGCTACAGAAAGGAAATAAATTCCTCTGTTAACTTGATTGAGTCTGAAAGTGAATTATTTCCAGAGACTCTCCACAAACATCCAGTCTGGTCAACAATTTGACATTGGCCTTGTGAGCCCCCACTCAGCAAAGCTAAGGGCATCCCCTGGGAATTCTGACCCCCAGAACTGTGAGATGATAAATGAGGGCTATTTTAGACTATGTTTCTGTGAATCTACTATGTAGTGATACAGAATTCATATAATATGAAATTTTAAATAAGAAAAAACCTTGCAAAATCAAACGTGGATGTGAAACAACTGAACCACTCTGTGACTGGGAATATAAATTACTGTAGCAGCTATAAAACACATAAACATACCCAAGGAAAAATTAATTCCTAGATTTTTTTCCACTTAAATCTATAAACCCAACAAAAAGTACAAGAGTCTTACTGACCTCTGAAAGAGCCCTGCTTGAAATAACTCATGTTCATTACCACTAGATATATAAGTAATTGTGGTATCCAATGGGGAGATACACAGCTAAGAATGAACTCACTAGTACTGTATCTGGATTAATCTTGCATACATTCATTAAAATCAGTTACCCATGCAAGTATACATCACAATGAGTATGATCCTCCTTCTATAAGGATCAAAAATAGGTGAAATTACTTCATGGTAATATAAATGTAATAGTGATTGAGTATTAAGCTCCTACAGTAGTCATTGGGAAGAGGCCTATGGTGGGTTGGAGAGTCTCAGAATTCCAGGAGTTACCTGATTAAGCACATGTGCTCATGTAAAGATTAATTTAATTAAACATGCATGATTTATACACTTTTTATTCTTTATAGAACATTTAAAATCTTTTTTATAAAAGGACTTTAAAATATTTTCAATACTTTTTCCACTGAGGGCTTGAAAAAAAAATTTAAAAATTGCCCAAAGTCATAAAGATACTGTTTGGAAGGACAGCATGGAAAATTATAATTAAAGATAATTTAATGGTTAATGTATTAGTTGAATTATCTCTTATTTTGCTGAAAATAGAAAGGAGGAATGGGTTTATAAATAATTTTGACCTTTACAATTGATTTTCTTTAACAACAGTTTGCCGGGAGGATTCATACCACTCTGTAGTCTCATGTGCTGCTGTCGTTCTTGCTCCCATAGAACCAATGATAGAAGTGAAGAAAAGAGAAGAACCAAAATTTCCGGAGCCTCCTAAACAGTAAGTGGTCCATTTAATTTTGTTTTTTGTTTTTTTTGGTACCAGGGATTGAACTCAGGACCTTGCACTTGCAAGGCAGGCAGCAGCACCTCTGAGGTAAATCCCTGGCCCTGTCTGTTTAATTTTTGAGACCTTGTAAAATCAACTAGATAGCTGAGCAGAATAACTGCTCAGCAGTTATGATTTATAATAAATGTGTGAATACTAGTATATGGATAGAACAGATATAAGTCAATGTTTTTTGAAATCAATCTATCCTGTGTTGTTTCAGTAAATCATTGCTGTTGTTCCCTAACTTTGTGTATTTGAATGATATGTCATTTAAGTTTTATTTTGTTACCATATGTTAGGAAAGCGGGTCAGTGGCCTAAACAGCTATGATTATCAATGCAGTGTTGCTGGATTATTTATTTTATAGTCATAGGCTTCATTGATCTAAAAAGGCATTAGTTTTTAAATCGATTATTAGTTGGTTGTTATTTCTATAACGAAAGTTCCTATTTTTAAATATTTTCACTAAGTTTTCACAAACTGAAACTTAGGAGATCTAGGATATTTCTCAGAAGAAAGTAGAACAGGTGCTATGGACAGCTGGCAATATCTGATCTGAGTTCTGCTTGCATTACCATGCATGTGTTCTTGAAAATTTGTAAGCTGTCAATTTATGAACATTTTCCCAAAAGTGTGTGTATATTTAATGAAAATATTTTAAAAGTCCAAAAATTTAAAAATTGTCATGGAAATATTTTAAGCTTTCATTTAAATTTAAATCTGGTGTTATATTAAATAAATGATAGACTTGTATTCTTTTAAAGGCCAAAGGAATTAAACTCATGGTAATGAATGTAATATACATTGGCATGAGACATAAGGCAAATTATTATTGGTTCTAGTTCTACACATAGTAAGTAAAAGAAAGAAAAAGCCTGGTGCTGATATTCCAGGGAAAGTAGTCCCAGGCCTGCTTTAAGGTTGTGAGTGGGAGACAGTGCAATGTGTGGTGTTGCCAGTGGCTGTGGGCTGACCACTATGTGAACAAATGGATGACACACCTTCAGACATGCACTATTCCCCCTTTGAGTATACTGTGATGTTGTTGTTTGTTTTGTACAAATCTTTGGACTAGATAGTAAGCTTCTAAAGACGGTTTCCTACAATATGGTCATGTTTGATTTTCTTTATGAAAGCGTTTAAGAAATACCTTCATTTTATATTCAATAGTATTAAATTCAAATGTATATTTGATTGCATGAAGACATTTAGTATTAACATTCTTATTACAGAGGGAAGAAATGCTAAACAATTCAGAAAGTAATGATTGTAATTCAGTTTTAATGCAAATTAAAAGTGAAAACAATCTAACTGCTCTTAATATAGTCTCATTTTTAGGTTTAAAAGCCATTTTTTGTCTAATGGGAGGAAAATTGCATCTAATAGTATTTTCTAAATGAATTATGTTAGAAAACTCAAAGCATTTTCCTGTGAATTTACGTTTATCTATATATTTTTAAATTGGATCTTAAATTTTCTCTAAATTATTTTTTAAGGACTCTCACCAAAACTGGACAATAATGATATTTGCTTGTCTATCTTTATTTCCCTTTTCCTAGCTACTTTATACACAGTAATTTTTCATGTTCTGAAATATGTATTTTAGCAAAGATAATTTACCATACATTTTCTTCTGTTATTCAAGTTCAGAAGTTCATTATTTTTGAAATATACATTCTCATTTAAATTTTCTCCTTTAACTATATTAGTAATTCATATATCTTTAATTTATTTTTTGCTTTTTTAAGACAGAGAGACCTTGTTTAAAATATCTGTTTTGCTACAAAACAGATTATAATTGTGGACATTTTATCTTAGCTCTGCACTGTACTTCACCCATCTATTAAGTGGGGTTATTTCGCCACCATTATCGTGAATATTATATGTAAGATATTATTAAAGAACTCTAATTTTAAAGCACCAATTCTGGTAACTCTTTTTTAGCTTCAACTGTCAACATCATAAATGACTTCAGATATGTGTTCATCTCCTGAAGCCTTTATGAATGAAAGTTTAATATTTAAAACTGTTGACCAGACTTGTCTAACTAGGTGTCCTAACTAGGTGTCCTCACAAGTATGTCTCAATCCAAATTAATTATCTCCTCCAGCCTCCTTAAAATCATGATTCTTTCTGACTTTCATGTTTGTGAAAAGCTAGCATCTTTTTCCTTTGGAAAACCTCCATCTACTTTGTCATCTTGTCTCACATTCAATTAGTTGTTAATTACTTGATTATTCCCATTATATTTTTTACTATTTGAGCTGAGCTGGAGGGCATAGGTATCTCATGTTTCAAGTTTTTTCTGACATCTACCTTCAATTATAATTTTAAATCAAGTATTCAGATATTTTCTAACATGCATTTTAGTTCTGTTCCTAATGAAATATCATTTATCAAATGAAAATTGCATATGTCCTATGTATCACACATTATTATTTTGAAAATTAAATGATAGGTTTGAATATATGAAAAAATGTGTATGCAAATTATTAACTCAATATTCTAGCTTTTCCATGAGAGAAGCCCCAAAGCAAACTGGCTTCTGAAAAATCAAGGGTAGTAATGGTTATTTGCTCATGTAATTAAGTGGTATACAGGTAGAAATTTCAGATATAGTTGGGTTTGGTCCTCATCGTCAATAAGGATTATTCCATCTGCATCTCTTTGCTTTGCTTTCCTGTGTGGAGTTCCCAATTTTTAACAATTTCTTCAGATGGTGACATAGTTTTAGCAGCAACAGATACAGGTGCTCATCTTGTCAACAAATCTAGCGGAAGGAAATGGATTGTTTCTCTTAAGTTAAAAAAACAATTGAGTGTCATTGTCTTTTACTAGCTTAGTTTGTTTTACATGATCATTCTGAAACAGTCACTGTACTAAGTATTTAGTGACATGATTGGCTCAAAATAGGTTTCATGGTAAGGATAGAGCACAGGGTGAAGTTGAAAAGGCAAAGGTTATTCCATCCTTGAAATATTGATGTGGTTGGTAAAAGAAGGCAGAGATGATGTAAGTCAAAATAGTAGATGATGTATGTATGTAGTCATATCACCACCATTTATTTTAAATGTTAAGACTTCTTAATTATATTTAAATTATAGATTTGGGGATAATACAATACAACATGTATATCTTCAGTGTTCATTTTAAGTCAGTTTTCGACTACTTAGTTTTATTTTTACGTTGCTCAATTGGTTTGAGCTACTGACAGGCAATGCAACTTGGTGGTTCAGAGTCCTTGGTCAGGTTTTCATAAAACTTTTTAAGTTATTATTTTTATGTTTCTCTTTAATTTGGGAGTAGTTAACCTTATAGTGGAATTCTAAACCAACAGGGAATATATACATTTTGTAATTATTTTACAACAAATACATTACATAAATAGCCACACCACCCTTTTATAAGATGGAATTATGTCTTACTTTCTCGTTTCTGGGACAAAATACTCTACTCCCACAAGTTAAATAGAGGAAAAGTTTATTTCAGTTCACAAGTTTTAGAGATTTCCGTCCATAGTTAGCTGGCTCCAAGGCAGGACAGCATGGAAGAGGGGGTGTCACAAGGAGAAACAGTCCATGGCAAGGCAGGCAGGAAGCAGCAGTCTTCCTTCTGCTTTTCCTTTTTATTCCATCCAGGCTGCAAGCCTGTTTGTTAGTGTCACCCACACCTAGGGTGGCTTTTCCCTCTTCAGTAAATCCATCATCCACACTCAGAACTATTCTAGTCCATTCAGTGGACTGACTCAGTATCACACATCTATGATCCATTCACTCCCAGAAGCCTCACCTAGAATGAGACTTTAGGAGAACATCTAGATATAAGACATAAGGAATTATCATAGCCCCATGTGATATCAGATTTCTGATAAAGAAAAGGAATAGACATAAAATAATAACACCATGCTGTAATACTGAGTCATTGGAATGCTTTAAATTGTGATACTGTCTTTGGATATATAATAGTTTCTCACAGTTGACAGTGGAATCAATTTTTTAAGTATATTTTCCCCTTAAATTTTATAAGCTTCCTGGATAAATTCCCAGAATAAATTAAAGACTAGTAGATTCATCAAATTCAAAACCTAATCCATCTCCTTCTCAGAAGGCCTGGAGTAAATTTTCTCCATATAAAGATTTCAGCATATGCAAGATTCTACACAAGAAAGAATATATAAGAAAATATATTTCTGGGAATGTTATAATCTAGGTGAAGAGACGAAAACATGAGCCTAAAAAGATAAATCACAGTATACTTTTTTTCCAATGTGAAGTATAGATTGTAGATAATGTGATTGTCTAAAACAGGCCCGATTTTGGGACAACCCATTTTCCGGTCCCTCTTCTGTCTCAGACAGAAGCTATCTTTCTCTCAATAAATTTTTCCTCCTCTTAGCTTCTGTTGTTCTAGAATGAATTATTTGATTTTAGAGAACATGAACTTGTTTTTCAGGTATCTAGCAGATTTGGGAGTTACATCTATTCCCGTTTTATCATTTTGGAGGTCTTCCACCTACCCTTCTCCATTGGCATTCAGCCTTGGAGCACTGCTGGACATTGTGCCAAAGCCCCAGTGGCCCATTTTCAAAGAAAGATGGAGTTGTTTAGTTCTAGGTTTAGAATTATAAATAAACAAATACAGTTTAATACTATCTTCAAGAATGCTTTGGTACTGGGACACTTGCCACTCACGTGTAATTTATACATCTGCCAAATTAAATAGTAATTAAATAGGCTTCTGTTAATGTGATGCGGCTTATAAAACTGTCATTTCAGTAATTATATCTATGGCAAAAAATCAAATTTCTTTTTGTCTTAAAAACAACCCTATAAAACACTAAATTTTCTGGAAGAGAGATAGGTAGAACACTTGAGGATATAGGAGTAGGCAAAGACTTCATGAACAAAACCCAAACCTCTTGGGAAATACTACAAAGAATCAACAACTTG